AATAATAATAATAATAATAATAATAATAATGATGATGATGACGACGATGATGATGATGATGATGATAAAAGAATATACAGAACAAGTGATGCACAATGCAGTTGCTCACCACCCGCCGACTGATACCCAGCCAGTTCCCAAGCAGCAGTCGCTGCCCCCCGGCCAACCCTCCCCAGTTTCTATACTAAGCATGATGCCACATGGTATGGAATAGCCCTTTGGGCAGTTTGGGTCAGCTGTCCTGGCTGTGCCCCCTCCCAGCTTCTTGTGCACCTGGCAGAGCATGGGAAGCTGAAAAGTCCTTGACTAGCATGAGCAGTACTTAGCAACAACTAAACATCAGTGTGTTATCAACATTCTTCTCCTACTAAATCCAAAACACAGCACTGTGCCTGCTACTAGGAAGAAAATTAACTCTATCCCAGCTGAAACCAGGACAGAGTAGTAGCAAAAAATAAATACAAAAGTGCAGCAGATAAAACACATATAAAGAACAGAAATTCTGTATTTTCAAAAAAGTACAGTCCAATTTTCTGTTTATCAAGCAATTCGTACACACTTAAGTTTTAGTTTATAGTGACTAGTACATGTTCTTTAGACATACAGCTCTTTTAGGCAAAGATAAAATGAGGAAAATCATTAAGTGGTGATGGCTTTAATAGTGTTGCAGGCTAATAAAGCTAGGAGTTACAACAGAACTCGCCTTTTTCCACCTGACATCTTTTCTCTAACCCATAATTCAGACAGCTGAAAAATGCGTTTTATGAAGCACCTGAGCTGTGTCATTTTGTACAGCAAGCAAATGACAATTTGCTTTTTCATGCATGTCCCTGAACATGTTTATCAGACTTATTGAAAACAGAATTCACAATCTTTTTCCAAAGGCTGTTCTGCAGGAAATGAAACCTCTGTCTCATTTCTGGGCCTGGTAACTCTCTGCTGCGAGCATTCCTCAGGCTCAGTGAGTTATAAATGGTTATGTGACTTCCCCAAATATTACTGGGGGAGTATATATTCCCCAAACACTACTGTCTTTGTAGATTTGCGGTCAACCAAGCTCCTGTTCTGAGGATTTTAGGAGATAGAATTGATTTTGGTTTTTAAGGTGAAGAATATTTACATTATTAAACAGTGTGAAGTTGAATTAAAATTAAAATAAGTTTTCTGCACTGGACTTGTGGTTGACCCCAGTGTCTCTTCTAGCAAATAGGCTAGCAGGCAAGGGTACTTACAGGAACTGCACATTTTAAGTGAATTTTACAGAATGTTCTTAAAAAGTAAGCTTTACAATAATGAATATTCCCACTAAGAACCTGAGGCTTAATTGTATTCACCTAAGCATGGAAGAGAAATAATATAATTAAATATTGTTCAATTAATTATAATTCGTATTTAGATATTAGTAATTAAATGGCTTAGACACATGCAATATGTTATGTGCAAGTTAACTAACACAATGTAAATTTTGAATATGATAACTTGCAATTCACTGTGAAGGATCCACAGTCAAGAATCACATTCTAAAATTATTTGACAAATAGTGCAAAATAATAGGCTAAATTAAACAGTAAGCTGCTCACAGACCATTCACAAGTGGGAAAAGGCAATTATACTTGTTGGCTGAAGTGTTTACCACGTGCAGCATGCGAAGGTGCTAGCATGTTTTGACATGAAGACAGCATTTATCTGGGAGGTCTTCCTATAAAGGCTATTGCACAGAAATCTGAGCAGGGGTATGTTTTCAGAAATATTTAGGAAGTGCACAGTCTTTCTCATATTCTGTATAAATAAATTGCTGAATTCATTTGGGAACATTAGGGCAGCGAGGCTGAGAGCGGTTGGGCAGATGTTGAAGCTTGCCTAACTTTTCTCTAAAGCCTGAGGAAAACAATTCATGAAGATTAGTAGTCTTTAACTTCTCTCAGACAGGAATCCCAGTTTGGAAAGTGAAATGTGTGCATAGCTTTAAGGAACTTGAAAATGTAGGAAATCTGAAAGTCTAGGATATTCAAATACTAAGAAGATTTACCCAGCACAATTCAGAACATTATTTACCATTAACACTTTGTTTCCTTCAGGAAACGCGGTTCGCCATTGTAACATTGAGAAGGGCTGGCTGCCTCCTGAGCTTTTCAACTGCACCACCAGCACTTTTGTGGATCTAAAAGTCATGGTAAGCTGTGTTTTCTCATTTTTGCCTTTAATTTGTAAATGGTCATCAATTCAGACTCCAGTTTGATATCCCTGCACTCTTTTGACTGAGTCCTTGAACCCCCTTGTTTCCCATCAGGACCCTTGTGCTTTTCTGGCTCTCGGTTACATTTTCCATTGAGTTGTCCTGTCAACCCTTTCTCAAGGCAAACATGATTTTGATCAAACAACTCCTTTGTGCCAAAAATCCCTAAATGATGATTGTCTTTGTAACTAGAATGAAAAAAAAAAAGATACATCATAGGGTTTTTTCTTCCTTCTTGTCTCTAATTCAGAATGAGAAGTTACACCACAATGAGACCAAGTTGGATGGAGACAAAACCATACGGATTGTGAGAGCACTGCAGAATGCCACCAAATACACACACAGCTTGTATGGCAATGATGTGAGGACAGCTTACCAGATGATGGTCCGGGTCCTCCAATATGAGAGCCAGCAGCAAGGGTTTGACTTGGCAGCCACGAGGGATGTGGAATTCAATGAAGTAAGAGAGAAACTACGTACTGTGCTGAGCCTTTACAGTTCCCCTTAAAAGTTTTATGGCAGTGGATAATTAAATTTGTCTTTGACCAAGGTGGAGCAAATACCACATAACTGCTTAATCTGTTTCACAAATGAGTCAGTCTTCTCAGTTTAGAATGCAAAGTTGGTTATGCATGTGTGTATGCACACGTGTGTGTGTAATACAAGTATCATAGAAAGTGCTGTTATAACAAATATCATCACAGTAACAACCAAAAGCAAAAATCCCCAAATTTTTTCAAATAATCAAGTTGATGTGTTATTCCTGGATAAAATAGCTTTGTGTACCATATTCAGTTTTTTTGGAAAACCTGCCTAATGTGATCATTTTCATTTAAATGTGCAGTGAACTAACTCTGAGCCAGTTATTGACTCTGAAGGTTTCTTATAATTCCGTTTGGGAACACTTGAGTCGTATTTATTAAAGAGTTGGTACATTGAAAGACACTCCATACCGTATTGATATTTTAAGTGATTGCAGGCACATACAAAAATGCATGCCAGAGGACTTCGGCTAGTCAGAGCATTCATGAAAGACCCAGTTATTACCAAAGACCTGACCAGCTCCAGAGAACAAGCTGTAGCACCCTCCCTGTCTAGGGGAGACGTAGTTGTGGTGGAAAAATGTGAGATGTGGAGGAAGTTGGGAGTTTTCTGTGGTTTGAAAATGTGAAGGTTGGAAGATCCATGTCAGGCTCGTAGAGCTCTCCTTGTTCCCATGTGTGCTGCAAGGTACTGATGTCCATGCTTGCCAATACTATTTCCAAGATCCTGACTATGGCACAGCACAGAGTCCAAGCTAAAACATCCTGCTGGACCTGTGCTAGCAGGGCCCGGAGCTCGGGCACCAGCGTAGGGATGCTGGAACTACCCTCTGTGGGCCAAGACTGGCCTCTGGGCTGGCCAAAGGTCTTCTGGCTTCCTTTGAAGGTGTGCTACAGCAGCTCACTGCTCACAGTACTCCAGGAGGACCAGCCAGGTCAGGCAGACTTTGGGGTGGACTTGAAGACCCTGTGCAAGGCCAAGCTGCACTAGAAGAGGATGTCTCTGGGGAGGTGGGAGCAGGAAGAAATGTGACTGAGAAAATTCCTCAGTGTCTTGGGCTGTACAGTCAACAGAGAATGGAGAACTTCTGAAACGTTGAACATTTAGATGCACCAGGTGTTAAGAGATTCAGTTTTTCCTTTCCTAAGGAGACACTGTGCTGACAAACTTGTACCTGTGGGCTGTGGAGTGAGTACATTCCCCCCTTCAGATCTTGAGAAGGAACTTTGGTTTTAGCATGTTTTGTTAAGTAAAAATAAGAACACTAAGCAAAAAAAGTGGTTTGGAAACCTTTGCTTTAATTTATTGTTCTCTGCATTTGGCACTGAAACTCATACAGATGATGTTTTCAAGAACTCCCTAAATATTTTTAGGATAGGTCAGGGATTTGAAAACTAATCAGTAAAGCTCATGAGAAAAAGGTAACATCCTAGGCTGAGGGAGCACAAGGGGAGAAGGAATTTATTTTTTTATAGTCTCAGGTAAAAGCCTGAAAAACAGATAATTAAAAAAACATAAATAATGTTCACAAACACTGAGGAGGCCTGGTACCAAGTACAGCATATGTCTCCTGTGTTCTTGGGGCTTCTTGCCCTAGATAAAGGTAGTCATACTGGCAGCTCCTTCTATCTCAGATACACACCTGCAACCTCAGACAATACTTAGACAATATAGCATCTTCCCTGTCTGCTTGTAAATGAAGGGTTATTTGTATCCAAATATTTGCCTTTGCTATTTTAGAGCTTGAGGTGATTAATTCCTACCACCATTAATAAAAATTTTACCTTAGCTAAGAATTAGGTTTTGACACAACAATGTATTTTCTATGCACACCAAGATGAAAAACTTCTTAGCACCTTTCCCGTTTAAGCCATTTAACACTCTCTTTTGGGGTCGTCTTCCATTCAGGCTGAGGGTCCCTTTGGATATTCTTGTAAGAAAGGGTAGAAGGGGCAGGTCCTCAGCTAGAACTTCTGTTTTAACGTCATTTGTAAGCAACATAAAAATGGGGGAACAGTAACATAATTTAAGTTTTCTTATGTGTCTTCAGGTTTTTATATGCAAGTTAATATTCACTCTTGTCATTCTTCACCGTGTAAGTTGTCCTAGTTATCCAGGAATCAACAAAGTGTAAAAAAAAAAAAAAATCAAAATAAAAGAGAAGGCAATATTGCTATCTATAGCTTTCTTTTGATTTTTAACATATCACATTATTTTGATTTCTCTGGGGGAGTTCTTCAGTGTACATACCAAGCACTCTGCTTTTCTTGTCTCTCATCTCTCCAAGACAAAGAAAATATGGTTAGGTTTTCCTTTTGCATTTTCTTGCTAGGTTTCCTGTCTTAAAGGGGAAAGAAAGTAGGCAGTTCTCTTATAGCCTCCAATTTTGGCTTACTTTGCTCATAAAAAGTTTGGAGGGATTTGCTTTATGTAACAAAAAAAACCTCAGGGTGAGTAACTGGTGTGCATATTTTCATAAGGCTGCTGTAGAACATGCCTGCATTAAAATATTTCATTATACACTCACCTGAGGCAGTAATGCCAATCATTTTCAATATTCCTCACTTGAAACCCATCACTTTGTTTACCTCATAATTTATGCTTGTACTTTGTTTCTCAGAATATTATCAAAGTGGGTAGTGCTCTACTGGACCCCAGCAACAAGGAACAGTGGGAGCAAATTCAGCGAACGGAGGGTGGCACGGCTCACCTGCTCAGGCACTACGAGGAATATTTCAACAACGTGGCCCAGAACATGAAGAAAACCTACATGAGACCTTTTGTCATTGTTACCACAAACATGAGTGAGTATCTGTGGTGAAAACTGCCATTTTGTATTAGAGCTTTAAAAGTGTGCTAGATAAAGGTGCTAGCTATTTGTTTTAATAGTACCCACTGAGAAACAACATACTTGGATTTTCTAATCTAATTCATTCATTTCAAGTCAATTGAGCCTTGATCCCTATCTCTCAGTTGCCATGGGGGCCTCCTGGGAGATGTCTGATTTGTTTTCCCTCTGGCCTGTGCCACTGCTCCTGTGGCATTTTGTTGCAACCACAGTAGAGTACAGATGGTAGGAAGGACAAAGTTTGTAAATATAGGTAATGCCTTTTGAGACCACCTAGTATAGTTGAATGTAAGTACATCATGTTTTTGAATGAATCACCCCCCCACCACCTGAAGAATTACTGCAGTACAAGAAAAAAAAACTACTATTGATTGTATACCTCTGATTTTCACATGCTTTCCTACCCTGGAACCTATCCAGAAAATCATCTTCTGTAGAAATTCCTATGCTGAAAGGTATTTTCTCAGAATCACCCATCCAAGCCTTCAAACACGCTCCCAGCCTTGCAAAACGCATCATCAGAGCAAAATCCTTAGGGTCCCAAATATCCAGAATGGGTCTAAACTGAGAAGGAAACATCAGACATACCCAGTTTTCTGCACCATCACAGTAAATGCCTCCTCTAACAAGCAAACAGCAGTTCCTGCACTTGCAGGACTGTGATGTACTTGACAGACGTCCCCGTGCTACACGTGCAAGTGAAGCACAGCAACCACAGCCTGGTTGGCCTCTTTAGCCATTTTCTCCCCTGCCCTCTCTATTTCATTTTCTCTGCAGGTGCCAACAGTCTGAGCTGATCGGGTGTTGGTGATAGTCCTGCTCTGAGCAGGAGGTGAGACTGAGTTGGGTGACCTTCAGAAGTCCCTCCCAAGCAGTATTACTGTCTGGTTTTTATTTCAGACCTGAAGAAGGGCTTATATGCCCAAAAGCTTGTCTTATTTTCCCAACTACACCCATTGGTCTAAGAAGTGAATTTATGTTTGCCTACAAACCTTGTCCTGAGAGTGCTTCATGTCCACAGTCACAGGGGCATAAAAAGCAGAGGCATTAGACAGCCAAGCTACAAAGTTTATAAAGTCCTGCATCAACTCCAGGAGAGTCAGATTATTGTTGAACTAAGCCAAACTGAAACGCTTTGATTTCTGTTTAATAAACGAAAACTGAAATATTTCCTTTTGATTCAGGACTATCAGAATCAAAATATTTTTATCTTCACACTCAGAAAAAAGTATGCTCAGCATTTTAACCCAGCTGAACTGAGATGAAAACAAAAACCAGAATTTCTTGCAGGTTGTAAATCATGACATTTTTGACCAGCTCTTCCTGAGTAAAAAGGCATGAGCTTGGGAGGGATGAGGCAACTCTGGCCTGAAAGGGGTCTGTTTTCTTTTGAACAGTTTTTCCAGGTGAATGTGGTGTTAATGGAGTTTCCTAATGGCTCATCTGGGAGTTATTTAGAGACTAGGAAAGGAATGGGAATTTGCAGATCTTAACTTGGATATTTCTTCACATAGAAATTTGCAGTGGATCACAGCTTTCGGTGTAGGGTTACCCCCAGGACTTCCAGCTTCTCACTTTTATTAGAACGTCTAAATTGGCACTCAATGAGTTCTCTTAAATGGGGAAGTTCAAGCCAACTCAGCTGCTTTTAAATATTTTGGCAGTTAGACAACAGGCAGAGTTGATGAGGTGAGCCAGAGAGGAACTGCTAGTGTAGAGGAAGGAGAACTGGAGGACTAAGGAGTAGTCCCAGGTAAAATCCAGGTTATTTTCTTTGCTTAGCTGACTTTGCAATTTAACAGATGCAGAAGCAGCATATTTCTGAAGCAGCGGATTTAGCCTTCCCTACAAGAAGCAAGTCTGAAATTGGAACATGCCATTTCTATCTATCCAATGCTTGTGGTAGTGTTTTCACAGTATGAGAGATTGTCTTGTGAATTCCTTTCCACTGCCTATACAAAATGAATTTGTAAATTGATAAATGTAACATAATGCTGAAATGTAACCTTTTAGTTGTTGCTTGAAGTATTGAGAGAAATTAGATTTGACTTTATATTTTGGGGTTTAAATTTCTTCTCTGTGTTGTGCAGATATTTTAACCTTTCAGTCATGTTTCATTTTGTCGCTATATTGTATTTGAAAGCAGTGAAGTTAATTTTATGGGAAACTTTTTTTCCCCCCAGTTATTGCTGTTGACATCTTTGACAAATCTAATTTCACGGGAGCTAGAATACCACGATTTCATGAGATTAAAGAAGATTATCCAAAAGATCTGGAGTCATCTGTTGTCTTCCCTGATACTTTGTTCAGGCCTTCAGACAGGAAAGGTAAAACTCTTCTGCTGCCATTCGGGGGCAATTTTGACTAGCTCCCAAGGAGAAAGATTAATCGTCACGAAGCAGAGTGGTACTAGGGTGAGAGCGGGGCAACCATCTACACAAGCAAACATTATTTAGGGATGGAGCAGCTGTGCATACTTCTGAAGCATTTTGCCTGCCGGCAGCGACAGAAAGCACGGCGGGGG